TCTGCTTTCTTACAGTAATAGAGTTGCACAACTAACATGAGAAAATGTGCATCAACTTTCTGTGTGATCACAGGAACACGTCAGTTTTCCTCTGATGGAGAATTTAAGAAACCACTAAGTTGGCTTTTATGGGGACAAAAAGTAGAGTTTTAATTGTAAGTTGTCAGGAGAGCAGTGTGTTTTTCTCTCTGCTTTATTTATCTCGAGGCATCATCTGCTTGATGTCTGTTGTTCCTGTTTAGTGTGATTGAGAGATAATGTGATTTCCACTGTTTGTCCTGTGGCTGCTCCTTCCTAAATGAAACATCCAGGCCTGCTAACTGGGTTGCAGGGCAGATACCATCCACTAGCCATGTGTCTGCCTAATTACCAGAATATGTGTATAATGGTCTGTGCTAGCTTATTACTACTACTACTACTACTGTGTAGCCTCTGATGGTATTTTACATTACTTTTTTCTTCCTTTTAATGGGGTACTTTGCAAACAAAATGATAATCAGTAGCTTTGAAGCAGGTCAGTTGTTTCTGCATCCAGCCTCAGACCTCGTAAAGTCTTTAGCCCTCAGGTCATATGGTTGTCTGTCCAGGTCACTGACTTTAAATGACAAACATTACTTCGGCAGCTCTTCTCCCCCAGACAGTAGAATATACACAGGACAATTTAAGTACACAAAAGGCTCGTCAATACTTCTTTCTGGAAATGAACCGTTAGTCATGTTTGAAAGTTTGTGTGCTGGGAGTGATCTCTTGTGGAGAAGTATTGAATGGCCCAGTTTTAGAGTATTGACAGGAAGTGAAAAGTTATGAACGTCTTAAACGCAAATTATCCACGCAGTCGATATTTTCCTTGTGAGCTTGTTCTGCAGGTTTTGTCATGCATTTAAAACTCCCGTCCTTCTGATGAGGTTTCTTTGTTTATTTATTTCTTTTTTTTGTGTGTGTGCCAGCTGAGCTATAAAAACCTAATGGATGAATGTTAATTATAGGAATGATTTTTTTTTTACTCATAGCTTAAACTTGCAGTCATTATTTTTTCCACTTCATGTGGTTTAGACTCGGTCTGTAGTGTTAACAAATCACTGCAGCTTCTCTGAGGTTACTTTTGAGGTGAAATGTGAATCACAAGATCATTCTGTTGAAGCAAAATCATCTATTTCACTTAACATAGAAACTATTCTTCTTTTGAGAAAGGGGGCTATTTTTCCTCCACCAAATTGTCTGTTAATGAATAACGTGGAGGCTAGAAAACCCCAAAGTCGAGTGATAAAACTAGACCCAATCTAGGCTTTTCCGTGGACAATTAAGATGAGGAATACATAAACGGAGCTACATTCCCATGGCAGAAATACAACTTGGGAAATGCATAGAAAGATTATTTTTGCAAAGGAATGATTTAAAAAAGCAGAGAAGTGACACCGGTGGCAGTTTGGGCTGATTCCAGGAGCTCTCGTGTTTATCAGTTTCCATGCATGCACGCGCTGCTGCCTTTCACTCAGCAGCTGAGAAATCCCACATCCACATCAAGGTCGTCCAGTCAGCCTTGTAATCTGCACGCATCATTCTGAGGGCTCGAGACCTGGAGTTTAGTGCAACACGTGTCGGCTTCTGAGAAGCATCACTGTCAAAATGAAAGGATGCAGATGTGCCTCAGTCAGTCTTCTGCTGTCTTCCTGTCTCCCCCCCCCCCCCCCCCCCCCCCCCCCCCCCCGATCTGTCTCTCTGCACAGGCCTATCACGAGTCTGTTTATAGAAAGTCAAACTTCCAACCCCCACACTCCCATGGCTGTAACCCAGTGGTTCCCACGGCCCTTGCTGCCTTCTCAGGCCCTTTTTTCTGTTGCCTTTTTTTATTCATGTGCATGTTCATCCTTCTTCATAGTTTACCAACACTGTCAACTCAGTTCTGTAGGTGTGGGGATCATGTTGACAGCTTGAATCTGCAGAGCGTCTGGATCTGGTTTACTGATGAAGAACAGCCTGCCAGGTGATATACAAGTCCCTGCAATGGGCACCGATGGATTTTTCAGCTTGATCCTTGCCTTGCGGGGGGGAGAGCGGTAGTGGGAGGCGAGCTTTCACCATTGCTGCTCGTTTGATCACTTGGTGGTTGTTCCCTGAATATGCCACCCAGAAGCCCAAGAGAAAGGAGACTAGGCCTTTTTTTTGTGTGTGTGGCTGGGTGTGAAATTTCTCCCACCATTATTTTCCTCTTCGTCATTATTTTTGTACAACAAAAACAGAACAGGCCGTTTCAATAATAAACATGTTTCTTTAAAATAAATGGTTGTTTGTGTGTGTTATAGGCTGCCTGAAGTCCAGGGAAAGTTCTTGTATGTCGGTCTCTCTTGCCTTTTTGTCTTTTTTATGTTTATACTGCTGGGATATTTTTGCATTTTAATTAATTTCCCCCCCACCCACCCCCTACAGCAAATCAAAAACAACAAATCTGAGTGAGTGATGACAAAAGGCTGTGCTTGTATGATGACAGGTCCTGGGGCTTTGTGCAACCTCTGACAGGAAGCGCTGTTGCTTGCAGCAGATTGTTTCTATGGGAACCAAAGCAGGTGTCTGCACGAACAGGAAGAGCAGCCAAGGCTCAGCTGGTAAAACCAGGGTGGGTGGAGACGGAGGAAAGAGGTCAATGCACTAAAAAGCCTGCCACATTAAATAGAATTCCTCCAAAATCTGCCTCTGCCAAAAACAACGCTTAACTTAACATTTTCTTTTTTAAAAAACTGCTTGCTTGGACTCCAGTCGCTAAAATTTTAGCACACGTATAAAAATACGGACAATGTTGAAACCAAGGAGGCGCTTGGGTAGAAGAGCAAGGTAAGCGTTTATTCTGGCCTACTTATTTGTTGTTGTAGGAAACTGTTTTTTACCCGGGAGTCAGACATGTTTTTTCTGGAGCAAACGCTTGATTTTCATCTTGCAGACCACCTTGGTGGTGTTCTTTAATGTGTGCTTTACATTGGGTTAGGTAGTTAATGAGACACCCTGCCCTTTACTGCACTACCTGAAGAGGAGGAAGTAAGTGTGTCTGACTCGCTGCCTGCAGTGTGGTTTCCTCTGTCTGGGCTTTTAATATTGTAGAGACACTTTCCTTATACTGTCACTCAAACCTCCAGAGGCTTAAACGCTTTTTCTTTAAGAAGATGGGTAGAAAATATTGCCTGTCTCGTCTGTTGATCACAATTACTCATATTTGTCATAATAATCTACTTGTATAGTAGGTTTTTCTAAGCTAAATCTGTCTAAAGCATATTTTAATGCATCTTAACCAAAATTAAAGAAGCTTTAGTCTGGAAGAATTCAGTTTACATTTGATTAAATCTGTTGTTTTTACTCCAACGCACCACTTAAAGCAAAAACTATATACAGTATATACATTTTGACATTTCCTATTTAGGAAAACGGTTCCAAGTGTGCAATACACATATAATGAATCAAACATGACTTTGGTTATTTAAATCTTGATTTAAATTAAATTGGTCACCCAATTTCAGGGCCAGGATTTAGACCATGACATAAAATTCAGTTCACTAACAGGTTCCAGTTCATAGAGTTTAAAATCCCAGCTGAAGGCGAAAAATGTTCACCAACGAGTTACACATTCACATAACTTTGTATTTGACTGTACAAGTGTTTAAATTGATGACAGGATCGTTTCCCACTGTGACTGGTCTTGATCCATGTAATGGGCTTTATCAAAAAATAAAAAGTTAAAAAATCGTGATCATCAGTGGAAAGTAGAGTTGCATTCAAGGCCCAAAAAATTCGACCCGGCCCCAGCCCATAGCCATCATTTCCGAACCTCACCTGACCCAACAAATTAACAGTAATTGAACACCCCCACCCCCGACATTTTTATTTAAGCTTTGACTGCTTATATAGTTATTAACAGTCAGCGGATGCACACGGCTGAGCAAAAGAGGGCAGAAGATCGTAGCTTGGGGGGTGTTTGTCCTTTCACGGCCGTCAAAGCGCATTAAATCCCTGCTTCTGCCTGCACTCTGCATCATTCAGACACGGACCCTGCTCTGACATGTCAGATATTTTTGGGTCACACCTGTTTGGTTCGTGGGCCGAGCACGTTCGCTGAGTGCAGCTGAATCTTTTTTAAATTACACCACCACCTTTTATAAAGGAAAGAACAAAGATGTGTCATTTGTTTGAATGTTTTTCTTTACATTAACTTAACTTTTTTTTACCTCTTTCAAGGCCGGTCCGCACGCGGTCAAATGGCCGCGTGCGGCTGGTGATTGTGTGGCAAGCCATGTTGCCATATAATTGGATCGTGAGCACGCTCGTCCACCGACGCGATCAAAAGCCTGACACCGGCCCGGCTCGCACATTAAGCACATTATTATGGTCCGGCCCTCATCAGGGGCGAGCCGGGCTCCGGGTTCAGGTTAGAAATGACGGCTCTAATGGAAAATGTGAAGGCCGAACATCTTGAGCCTTTCAGTTCCAATAAATTATGAATATAATTGGGTGGATTTAGACTGCTGAGCTGGTGGAAGTAATGATTACCGTGTTTTAATGTAACTAAACTTAAATTAAAACTCTGTGAACCTTTGCTCAGATAATTGATTTTTAATCTCTGGTTATAAATTTTTGTCTTTATGGGTGCGATGAGCAGTCAACATTACTGGGAGTTCTCAACTATCATTTCTTTCTGATTAAAGTCTGCGTGGTTGTTTTGCTCTCGCTTATTAACCGTTTGGAAATGGAATCCTGTGGTGTTCCTCCATACTGAGTGCATTTTATTGGGTGTCTCTTAGATGATGGGAGAGCTGCTTATCACAGAGCTGTTGGTTTGCTTCAGCTCTTCCAATTAGTGGAACACTGGAAATTCCTAGAAATGTTTTTGTGGGTTTAAAAATCAAATCTTTCGGCAGCGTAATTTGATGCATTAGAACAGTTTCACTGCAGCTGATTCAAGCTGCTTTCCACTCTCTGACTTCTGACTAACTTTGCTTTTTATATCATATTTTCAGGTTTCCAGGCTGACTGGAGTTGAGGAACATCAGCATTCTTTTTGAAGATCATACCAACCTTTTTGTGGACTTCCTGTAAGCGGAAAACTAAGACAATCAGCCAGCATGCCGATTTTAAAGCAGCTAGTAGCCTCCTCTGCCCAGACGAAGCGTCGCTCTCGAATGGACTTAACCAGGGAAATGATCAGTGCACCTTTAGGAGACTTCCGCCACACTATGCATGTAGGCCGCAGCGGTGACGCCTTTGGAGACACGTCCTTTCTGAGCACACATTCAGGAGAACCTTCCCCTGAAACCAAATCCTTTCCTCGCTCTCCTCGACCTGGCCTCTTGTCACGAACCTTTCGGAGCAGCAAGCGCTCCCAGTCGGTGACCAGAGTGGATGAACAGGGAGAAAACAGCCCGACGGTTCCTGACGGGTCCCCGATATTTGTCAAAAATGCCATGTCTCTGCCTTTTCTCAACGATGAGAACAGAGGGGACAGCATGGTGTCGAAGAGTTTGTCGTCAAGCCCGTTTAAGCAGCAGGAGGAGCTGGACGGTGGAGGTGCAGCTACAGCCATGAACTTCCATGAGCTGCAGGAGCGACGCTTTGGTGAACTGGCCGAGCTGCCAGAGAGCGCCGTTCACTACGGAGGTGGAATGAAGCACGCAGAGTCCATCATGTCCTTCAATGTAGACCTGGGACCCTCAATGCTGGGGGACATCTTGGGTGTGATGGAGAAGGAAGATGATGATCTTGGCTTCGAGGAAGGCAAGAACAGTGAAGGGCGTGCCTCACCAACCCTCAGCAACCATGAGGAAGAGGACGGTGCGGCGAGCGGGGAGGACGAGGAACACGTTCAGATGGAGGCAAACGGCGAAGCAGGAGAACCGCTCCAGCAGGCCTGCGTGCATCAAACCAGCTCTGTAGACCTGAAGGATGAGGACGGGGGTCCGTACACTCCAGAGTACACCCCTGAGATACGACCCAAACTCATGCTGCACCTGGACAGCTGCTCCATGTCCAGTTCCAGCTCCGCCGCTCTGGACGAGAAGCCAAACTGTCACAATTACACAGGAGATACAGACAGCGCCACGTTCAGCGCACCACCAGAAGAGGAGAGCAACTTCTCCTCTTTCATGGATGATGAGGATGATGAGATCCATGTATGAGAGTACATTGTAGATTTAAAAAATGGCCACTCTGAAGTGATTTGTGTGAGATTTCACAGGAAGATGATTCTGTTGTAGACCACTCTGGGGGAGGGATAGTGGAGATGACACTTTTTTTATTTAATGGAGAAGTGAATCCTCCTAGGAGATGCTCAGCTGGCTCTTTTGAACACTGACACGGGTTGGAGACACTTTTTGAATATAACATTCCAGAACTGAGCAGGAAGTGTTGGTCTGAAAAGAAACTTTGGTGTTAAAGAAAACACTTCCCACAACTAAAGCCCAGTTCAGCCTTTTTTTTTTTCCTTCTCTCCCCCTTCTGTCCGTTTTCATTTGATTCTCTCCATTTCGCCTCCTAGCTTTCTCTCTCTGGCTGTGGGACATCATGCGGCCGGAGCTGAACAGAAGACCTCTGTCACTAGCGGATCACCAGTGGGTGTCTTGTCACAATAAAAGGAGTTGTGTTTGTCACTGGAGTGTGAACTTCTTGCATCAGAAAATCTTCCAGCAGAGGCACACATCTATCAAACCCTTTCTTATTCTAACTCAACTCAGGGCCCCTGTGATGCTCTCGGAGGCTGCGTTCTCCCAATTTATCGCAAGACCACAAAGCCAAAACCGAAATTCTGATGTGTTATTAATTTACTGGCTGCCACCCAGGTTTGGACTCAGTTAAAGATGAAAGGAGGTGCATTGAGTTAGCTATAAAGAAAAAAGTGTTGTCAGAAGAAATCAGAGGTGGGAAGTCACACACACTCTTTATCTTTGATGAATTAAAGAGTTTACTTCTTGTTGATTTCCATTAACAAACACCCTGTTTAGCTTCTTATTCTTTGTTTTATGATTGAACTGTTTAACCCTTGTTAACCACTTCCTTCCCCCCTTTTTAAAAAATATATCTGAGCAACTTCAGTGCCACAACTAGACCATAAAAACTTCAGCTCAGTCAAGACGGCTGCCTTATGTGAAATGATGTCATCACTACGTATGAGTAGATTTTGTATGTTAAGTGTACTGACGGGTAAATTGTTGTTTCAGTCCTGATTTTTGTTTTTATTATCCTAGAAACAAAAGTTATATATTGTTTTCTGTTCATCTGAGCATCGATCAAAGAGGGCCATCGTTAGGTTCAAGAGCATTAAGTCCAGATCGCAGTCTTTTCTGCACGTTGCCCCGTCGTTGCAGCTCGACTCTTACCTCTTGCATCATTAAATCCTAAGACTTACTTGGCGCTGATTGATTTGGCAGCCTTAACTGAAACTGACACGTGCTAATTTATCATTTTCAAGCCAAAAGTCATTTCACATGTGAAACTTTTGGGGGGTAAGTCTGTCGAATGTGTTTTTGTTTTCACTTTTCCTGTTTAATCACTGAAGATTTAAGCTTGTAGGTAAAGTAAAGAAAAATAAAGAATTTTAAAGGAGCATATCCTTCAAGAGTAAGAGGTTTACTTAACTGGATATTTACCACTGACACACTACGCCACATTCTTGCAGTTTCAAAGTTTTTTGTGAATGAGAGGATGTTTTTTATGGTTATTATGCCTCACTGTTATCTTTACGGTGTATCTGCAACCTTTTTTTTTTTTCTGTATTACCCAAATTAACCTATATTTTTCAATAAAAGATTATCGTGAGTGCCTTTGCGGTTGGAAAATTTATCATAGTGCCTCAATAGTTTATGAAGTGCCACTCATTCAGTGGTCCCAACAAAGAAAATCCTGGAGTGCTGCCTCATGTTTCCTGTCTATTCATTGGCTCTCCCCAAAGAGGAAGAAAGGAAGGAAGCAATAGAAGCCTTAGTGGATTTTTTTTTAAAGTTTTTTTTTAAGTGCACAACCTGAAAACGATGTGATGACTCATAATAAAATGTGTGAAAAGAAGGGAAACATCTAAAGTCTTAAATGTTTTCATCAAGGATGCACTAAGGCTGGCGAATGGATACTTCTCACCAAGCTGCACTGATAAACAGGCGACAGGTGATTCTTCTCACCCCGCCGGTTGGAAGATGGATGAGTCTGACATTCAGCTCAGATCATGATCCTACTCATCATCACAGACTCAAAACTGTTCTGTCACTTCTGATTTACCAAACCATCCTTTGGCTTCTTGCACACCATAGTAAAGCCACTTGCAGCTTGGTTAAAGTTCAGCTTATTATATTTTGTTAATGCTGCTGCAGACGGTTCAAAGTCTCTCGCCTCCCATCGCTCCATGTTAAAGCTGCACGCTGGTTAATTCCTCTTTGGATTGTTGGTTCAGTCTTCGTTTCAGAGAAATCTTAATCTTTTTCAGTTTGTCATAGTCTCATTATGTCAGTGTCCAATCTGCCAGAGGGCTAGAAGAAGTCATTACTCTTACACTTGTGCCATTTATATAGATTGTTGTGGTCAATACAAACCAATGGTGGTATTGATCCCCATTTTATCTCACTGTCATTCTTTTCAAAGATTGAATATTTTTTGTTTTTCTTGTGGAAGAAAAATCTTCATTAGTCACAAATTTAGCATTTGACTGTAAAGTTTAGTTTTTAATCACTCTTTGTAATTGAATTAATATTTATCTGGTGTTTCGCTGACTTGTTTTTCTAATGGGAAGCTTGTCACTTACTGCCATCTAGTGGTGGGGTGAGGTAACACTGCTTGTGGGCGTGTCGGAGTGATTCTCATTTAAGTTAAAGTTCTAACTTGGATTAAGCACACTTTTTAAAATCATATTACACTAACAAACAATACTTTATTTAAATTGTGTCTTTTTGTAAATTTGGTGTTTGAGATAAAAGTGGATAACGGATTGCCAAAAGTGCATTTGAAGCATGAGTTGGTGTGGGACAACACATTTTTAACTAGACATCAGAGACTCCTGATTTGTTCAGGGGGCTCAGTTCACCTCCCTCCCCCCATACAAAGCCATTGTAATTTGAGCCTTGCCTTGCAGCTGTTTCTCCCACTCAAACACTCAGGACAGAGTCTCATCTACTTCTAAGGCTGTCAAAAGCCATTTCCTGTTGCTTTTCAGCTTCTCCTTTTTTTTAAGAGCAAAAACCCTTTTCTTTTCTCGAAGCACCGAAGGGAGGCGCTCAGTGTCTTCATATCTAATGTCACAAGGCCCTGTCTGGACCCACAACTTTAGCTGCCAAATTCCATCAGCAGACTTGCACCTCTTCCAGGAGGCTGAAGGCATGCTGAAATCTGGAAAGTATTATACAACCTGCTGGTGGAAGGGTGGGGGGCACTGAGGAAGAGAAGGGGGAAGGGGGTTAAAACAGAAAGAGGGGAAGTAAAAAATTGGGGGATGGGGAGGAAAGGAACGACATACAGAATTGTTCATATATATATCCACCGCCCATTTGCCTTGCTTTTTTCCCCTCCTTCCCACACACGCATTCATCTGTGAGCCTCCCTCCAAAAATGTGCAGACTACTCCCCAAACAGCTACAGTATTTTTCTTTTATTTTCATAGCAGCATTTCACAACTCCGCTCTTTTTATGGATCATGCACAAACAACCATTTATTTTATGCATATTTTGGGTGGGGGTGAGGAGATGGGAGTGGGTGTGGTGTGTGTGAGGAGTTGTTTGCTGGCACGAAGCTCGAACATGAGTGCCATGGTCAAAAATCAGCAGCTGTGTGATTGTGGTGGGCAGCAGGAAGAATAAAACTGGAAGCTGTCCAGACCCCCCCCCCCCCCCCCCCCCCCGCCCCATGCTTTGATTCATGAGTCACAGCCCAAATTGATACAAAATAAGGGCCTACCCAAAAGGAATGTGTAGAATTTACTATATATATATATATATATATAGTGTATGTGTGTGAAGGACCTAGCATTCCTACTGCCGTTCATACCAGGATTTTAGACTGAGGTTATGAGAAATAAGAAATGAATTTTAGCCATTTTGGTCCAACTTTGAACGTAATTTGATGCAAAAAGTCTTGTGCAATCATCTACCACTGCACCAAATTCAATACAATGCACAAGTATGTTGACTCTGAAAATGTTTTAATAACCTTGTTTTCTTTCAGCTACCAACAACTCCCAGAAGTTTACTTCTCAATCCAACACAAAGTCAAGTTTATTCTGTTCTTTGGGCAGCTGTGGCTGAGTGGTTAGAGCAGTCGTCCTCCAGTCGATCAGAATGTGATCTAAACGCTCTGATCAGTCTTTGTATAGATCTAGTAGAGTGCTGCATGAATGGGTAAATGAGGGCAGAGTGTGTTGTAAAGCACTTTGAGTATCTTGATAAGATAGAAAGGTGCTATCTAACTACAGTCCATTTACAAATTTTAGGTCAGTATCTGAACATTTCACTCAGGCTCAGGATGATTTTCTGTGGCGGCCATCTTTAGGTGTAGTTTGACTTCAAAAGTTATTGTGTAAATGTTTTTATCTGTTAGTACAGATTAACAAACACACCCTTACATATAAGTAATAGACTGTACTTATATTGTGCCTTTCTATCTGATCGAGACACTCAAAGCACTTTACACAACAATCTGTGCCTCATTTACTCATTCACTCTACTAGATCTCTAGAAAGCTAATTGAACAAATCATTGAACAAATCATTCTAAAGAGATTAATCAGTGCTTTAGATCACATTCATACATGACACACCGGATGCATTGAGGGGTTCAGTGTCTTGCTCAGGGACACTTTGGCATGTGACTGCTGGTGGATTTGAACCCTCAACTCTTGCATTGGAAGCCGACTGCTCTAACCGCTCAGCCACAGTATTTTTGCTGCTTTGCTTTCAACAGTAGAGATGATTTTTTTAAATTTTTTTTATTGTGTATCCTTATTCACGAGTATGCTTTCATTCACAATCCAACTTTTGGATAAATTAAAGTGACAATCAGTTATAACATTCTGGATACATTTGAAATAAAACACATGAAACTTTTAGCCAAATGCCTTGTGTGTGTGTGTGTGTTTTAATCCTTGTCATCTCCTACCAAGGTCCGTGTTGAACTAACACTAGTTTTCATTATGAACAGGATTTTTGTTTTCACACTTTTTCAAGATAAGTTGGCTTTTTCTTCCAGGAGAGCACGGCGTAAAGCACTACGGATATTGGCAGTAACAGGAGCAGAAAACATAAACATTCCAGTACCCTGCATTGACCTCTTGACCTTTAAAACCTAGATTTGCAGGGCCAGCAGCAGGAGACCACACACACACACACATTTGGCAGGGGGAGGAGCCAGGAGGATGCAAAACTTC